TTATACCATTTCAGGATTCTCGAGTCCAAGCTAAAACAGACGTGCTGCCCTGTTTACTCTGTGATCTACAAAGGCAGCAATACTTTTGCATTTGGTCTTCTGATATCAGGCTACCAGATATGCTGCAAGTTAGTTAAAATAATAATAATTGTCTAGAGTCCAGTTGCAACTGACTCATGGCAACCCCAGGATCATAGGGTTTTCAAGGCAAGAGATGAGCAGAGATGGTTTGCCATGGCCTGCCTCTGTGTACTGACCCTGGACTTCCCTGGTGGTCTCCCATCCAAGTACTAACCATGGCTGACCCTGCTTAGCTTCCAAACTCTGACAAAATCAGGCTGAGCTGGAGTCTCAGGCTGCTGTTAGTGACTTAGATTTAATTCATTTAAATGAAGCTCACATTTCCATCTTAAATTGCGTGGTAACATCTAGGGATGCTTGAGCATCCACAAGCTTGGCTCATGTTCTGCTGGCAAGCAGAGAGGCATTTTTTTGGGGGGCAGTTAGGCTGTTCATGAGCAGCCTGAGCCTCTTCAGGGGGTTACTTGTACAATTTCACTCCCCGCCAGTCAGCTGTTAGGTTTAAGCCATTTAAACCTAACAGCAGGCTGGCCAGGGAAGTGAAACTGACAAGGGGAAGCCTCTTCTCTCTGCCTTCCCTTCTCTAGCTGACCCAGGGTAGCAAGTTGGCTGGGGAAGCGAAGGGCAGACATGGAAATACTTCTCCTTCCTTCCCCGAACTGGGAGAGGGAAAGGCATTTAAATACGGCTGGACTCTCTGCCTGTGCTTCTCCATCAGCCCTGGGGCAGCTGGAGAAGGTAGAGAGAGAAGGCTTTCCTGGTCAGTTTCACTCCCACAGCTGACTGGCTGGGAGTGAAATTGACTGGGGAAGCCACAGTGGGAGGGAAGTCGGTATTCGGCTACCTAAAAGCTGAACACATTCGTGAAACCGTATTCAGAAGCCGAAAAGTTTCCCGAATTTGCATTCGGCTTTAAAAATAGCGATAAACACCGATAAGGTATTTATTCAGTGTTTTTTTTAAATTCAGGAAAGCCGGATGTACATCCCTAGAACACACTCACTGTGAAACTAATCGCATCCCCAAGTACATCTATCCCAGATGCGATGGACAATTAAAAAAACAAAATGAAGCAATATTGTTTTATTGAATGAAAAAGATAAAACCAAAATATGAAGTGATGAGGTCCATGAATAATTGCCACCCACTGGCACATCAAATGTATTTCAAAATATTCCTATGAAATGTGCCATTGAACAATGATAATTTAAAATAAGGCTTCATATGTTAGTTGGGAAACTAATCAACTAGAGTTGCAGACTATTAATGGGTGAGGTTAAACTTTTAATGGAGAGGATTGGAATTAACTGCACACTTATTTTGAGGCTACTTTGATTCGGTCACTACAAATATAATTTCTGTTTCTTTTACTATATGCTTATACTTCCTTTATATCTCAGGTATATTAAGAGATTTACTAATATCCAGTTTAAAGTGATAGCCATTCTGTCTTTGTATAGCTTAACAAATTACAGTGATGTTACCGAAAGCCCTAATTGATTCTTTTTTTAAAAAACATAAAGTATAGAAAATAAAAACTGGGAAAAGTTGCTTCTTCAGTTTTTGCTCATGTATAGGACGGGCAAAATTCTGCAGGCAGTTGTCCAAGGACAAGAACAGCTTTGTCCTGCATAAAGAATGCTGTACAGAAGCCGCAATGGACGCCATCTTTCTACAGGCACAATAAAACTTGTGTTACTTGGTACACAGCGTAGATTATTACTTTATGGGCTGTTTTTCTGGCAAACGATAAGCCAGTTGTTCCACAAATAAACATAAAGGTCTGTTTGCTGCTCCCAAGTGCAAACTATCATCTCCTGCTGTTTGGAAGTATTAAAAAAAAAAAAAGATTAGCAATTTCCACGCTCACCAAAATCACACCCGCCCTAATATACGCTATTCAAAAACCCATTTTGTGCTCTGCAGGAACAGGCGGAGGATCTATCTAGTTCAGCCTCTCGTTTCCCACACAGGAAGCCCATACAAGCAGAGAATGAGGGCCGTGTTGTTTGTCCGCAGAAATTAGTCTTCACGTGATTTCGGTTATGACAAAGCTTCTCAGTCCAATCTGGTTGTGGATAGTTTTTTTCCCCAAGAGAATATCAACATCTTGTCCCTGGTCAATATTTTCTCAAAGGCAGCCAGACCCACACTTGACGCATACATGAAAAAAATCTTAACACCAGTGCCCTGGAGTTTGTCCCAACTTGAGCTTTAAGGAGTCTCTAAACCGAACAATAGACAGACAATTTCAGTGCATCAAAGGTTTGGTGTTTGTTTGTTTTTGCTTCATCAACAGGTAGGTGGCTAGAGGCGGGGCATTTCCTGTGATGGCCTTTGGAAGGCCCTCCCCCCTTGAGGCTTGCCTGGTGCCTACTTGACTGTCTTTTAGGCGCTAGGCCCAAATCTATTTTTTTATCCAGGCTTTTAATTTGCCTGCAGCCACCTTTGAAAGTCTGGCACAGCAGAGTGGATGCGGCCACAAAATGGCCACCGCAGGAGGCAGAGCCAGCCACAAAACAGCTGCCCCAGCTTACCATCAATCACACAGTGAAGATCCTTGTACTGTGGTGGCACAGCCAGTCAACTCTCCAATGGCCAATCAGAAGCCTTGTTGACCAAAGGCCCCACCCACTTTTAAAAAACACTTGGTGGGCATCAGGAGAGTCGTTGGTGGGCACCATGTTGCCTCTGGGAACCACGTTGGGGCCCCCTGAATTAGGGGTTTGATCTTTCCAATTTTTTAAATGGCCTCCTTCTACTCTGAGGTTGTTTTATGCTGTTCATGGCTTATTGTTTTAATACTACTTATTTTAACTTTAAGCTACATTGAGAGCAGGACTCCGAAGAGGCAGCACGGAAGTCTAAATAAATAAATACCAACTTGCTCGATTTTTAAGATTTCCTTCAGAAGCCCTGATCTGTGGGCTCACCCCACCCTAGACAAGTGGCTACAAGGGACAGGGCATCTCATCAAAGAATACCATGCCAAAAGAATTCCCTCCCGACAGCCATCCACCTGGCATCCACACCATCAAATCTCAGGTGCTAGCTGACTGTGCTGTAGTGTTTAGAGTGTCGGCCTAGGATTTGGGAGACCCAGTTTCGAATCCCCACTCTGCCATGAAAGCCTGCTGGGTGACCTTGGGCCAGTCATATACCCTCAGCCTAACCTACCTCGCAGGGTTGTTGTGAGGATAAGATGGAGGAGAAGAGAATGATATAAGCAGCTCTGGGACCCCACTGGGGAGGTAGACAGGATATACATCAAGTAAATAAACAGATAACATGGGCTCCAGTTCCCCAAAACGGATGTTAAGAGTAAAAAACTGTTAGTATTTTATTTAACTGTACATCCATAAGAACGAATGTTGGAAACCTTGCTTGAAAACTGATGGATTCAAACACGCAGTTCCCAAATATTCCACGGCACTTCTGAACAGCGGCAGACGCCGCAGTTGAACTCTGCTGATCTCCCAGAGACCTGTGATATGTCATGTCATTAGAAAACAAACAACCCAGAAAGATGCGCTGCCACAAAACACCTCAAATGTACCGTTTCTGTGCTGAAATCTGCTACGTTGCTGAGAGCAATTCACAGAGAAGGAAACGCGATCTGTCTTTTGAGAGATTAGCATTCCAAGGACTGGCAGATTAGATACAAGGGTTTTGGCCTAGATCAGCCAAAGTATGGCCATCTCAGCCTGACTCACGCAGAATATCTTCTCCCATGATGCAGTCTTAAGCTCTCGCGCTTCCTGATCTGGAGCCTCCCACCCTTCAGTCTCTGTAGCAGATCTGGTAGTTCATGGCTGTATGTGGCGGTACATATTTGAAACCATTAATACGCTTGGCACTGGACAGCAGGAACAAAAGAACCGCGCAACTAGTTCCGTAAGCCTGGGGCACGGGTGAGCACGCAGGGCTGTAGACCGTCTTCTTCTCAAACAGCGGCTACTGGATTTTGTGGCGATTTAGAGGCAATTTTGTGGCACAGCACAGAGGCACTTGGCTGTTGAGGGGAAAGGAGCTCGAAACCTCACTGGGCTACTAATAAGCCGCTTCTGTGAGCTCTGGTTAGAGGTTTTAAAAATTAAAACATTCCAGTGGGAAATCTGCGGACTTACAGAGATCTGGCTAGGAGTACGGACGCCAGTTTGAGATTTCTTTTCTTTTTTTTTTACTCTCCAACACTGAAGAGCTCAGAAAGATTACTGATCCTTAAAGATAGTCTTTCAAATCTCCAGCAGGTGACTGGATCGCCCAATACATTTCCCCGACGGCACTCGATAATAGCTGAGACTGTCCAGTTCACTCAGTACACAGTTAAGTGATCGCAGAGGGGAAGATCACGCCAATTTAATCTTTATGTCGTGCTATGATTTTATCGACTCTTCTTTGCTGCACGTATCTTCAACCAGACCTTTAAGCCGAGACAAATTGTGTAAAGCTCTGTAAAGCAAATAAGACAGAAGAAAGGCATGTGGCTTATTATACGAGCACATCGTGGAAGTAGCAGCACGCGAGTGATACACCAACAAACACAGGAAGCTGCTGTGTACTGAACCAGACTCAGTCCATCAAAGTCAGCACTGTCCACTCAGACTCGCAGCTGCTCTCCTAGGTCTCAGACTGAGGTGCTTCGGGAAGCTGCCTAAGGTACACATCAGCACACCTGGCTGTAGTGATTCAGAAGAACACTTTGGCATTCTGTCTGGTGTAGCGGTTAAGCGTGCGGACTCTAATCTGGGAGAACCGGGTTTGATTCCCCACTCCTCCACTTGCACCTGGCTGGATGACCTTGGGCAAGCCATAGTTCTGTCAGAGCTGTTCTCAAAAGAGCAGCTCTCTCAGCCCCACCTACCTGGGTGTCTGCTGTGGGGAGGGGAAGGGAAAGGAGTTTGTGAGCCGCTCTGAGACTCCGAGTGACGGGCGGGGTATAATCTCTTCGTCTTCTTAATGTGGATTGTGAGGAAGTCACATGAACGCATGAAGCTGCCTTGTACTGAATCAGAACCTCGGTCCATCAAGGTCAATGTTGTCTACTCTGACTAGCAGCTTCTCTGCAGGGTCTCAGGTAGAAATCTTTTGCACCCCCTACAACCTGATCCTTTTAACTGGAGATGCTGGGGATTGAACCAGGGAATTCCACATGCCAAGCAGATGCTCTTACCGCTGAGCTATGGCCCTTCTCATGTCAGTCTCATCAGTCATGGGGGTGGGGGGTGGAGGGAGAAGCAAATGATCTTTGATGATATCTGCTGGTCCTGCCCAAGAGCATGAAAAGAGTCCTACTTGAGCAGCCTAGTCTAGCATCCTGTTTCCAACAGTGGTCAGCTAGATGCCTCCAGGAAGCTTACAAGTAAAACACTATACGTCTTAACATATCCTAACATGATATCCTCCAGAACACAGACAATTAAGACTGTACAGACTGGTCTGCTTCCATGAGTTGCCTTGCTTCCAAACCGGTATGATGACTTATTCCCAAACTGACCCAAAAGAGAAAGAGTCCAGTAGCACCTTAAAGACTAACACAATTTGTGGCCGGGTATCAGCTTTCGTGAGCCACTGCTCGTGTCTTCATACCCTGCCACAATTTTTGTTCCTCTTTAAGGTGCTACTGGACTCCTGCTCTTTTCTGCTGCTACATCTTGAAGACTGAAAAAGACGTTAAGCCCAGGTAAAGGAGGAGGAGGAGAAGGAGAGATTGGATTTATATCCCGCCCTTCACTTGGAGTCTCAGAGCGGCTTACAAACTCCTTTCCCTTCCCCTCCCCACAACAGACACCCTGTGAGGTAGGTGGGGCTGAGAGAGCTCTTTCAAGAATTGCTCTTTCAATAGCTCTGATAGAACTATGCTCCACCTCTTGAAGAAGAAGAGATTGGATTTATACCCTGCCCTTCACTAGCCAAAGGTGTCTCAGAGCGGCTTACAAACTCCTTTTCCCTTCCCCTCCCCAAACAGACACCCTGTGAGGTAGGTGGGGCTGAGAGAGCTCTTTCCAGAACTGCTCTTTCAAGGACAGCTCTGACAGAACTATGGCTTGCCCAAGATCATCCAGCAGCTGCAAGTGGAGGAGTGGGGAATCAAACCCGGTTCTCCCAGATGAAAGCACTTAACCACTACACCAAACTGGAGACATGGCTACAGTTCATACCTTTAAAAATCCTCCTATCTGGAGAAATTTCGAAGAAGTAACATGAGCCCTGCAGGAGATCACCATCAATGTCCAACTCTACAGAAGTCACATTCATGTGACTTTCTTCCTCAAGCATGGGGAGGGGGAGAAGAGTTATGTACCTGGGTGCAGGAATGGGGCTAGTGCACATGGGAGATTTCTATACATATGCACCAGGCTTATATGCACTGAATTCCAGCCAAATCAGCTTGCAGATCTGAGCCCCAAAGCAATCGGATGCTTACCTCTCGAGGGACCTTGTTACAGGGATGCTATCAATATCACATGGCTTCAAATCAACATCCTCCTCTAAAGTCTGAAAAACAAAACATAATTTAACAGCCACGTTCCCTCCTTTCTTTCTCGTTTTTATTTTTTTCTCAGGAAATACAGAGGAAAACCTTTTAAAGGTTACTTAACTCTCTTAGTCTCTCTTAACTAGTCAATGCCTGCTTTGAATTCTGAAGGTTTCCATAGTGACCAAATCATAACAACTGTTTACATCTTACTTACAGCAGGTAGGGAGACAACGCATGAACTTTATAACAAAACAAGACAAAATAAAATAGGATGTTTGGGAGATGCTGTAGCAGCTAAGCCCACAAGCCATGAAATCCCAAGTTCAAATCTTATCTTAGATACTGGTCGCTATGGGACTTTCAGCAAGTCATTGACTTCTCAGCCTCAGTTCCCCCGTCCATAATATAGGCATAACAACCATGACCTATTTGATGCGGATGCTAGAAGGTTTAAACACGAAGTACTTTGAACCAGGTCTCTTTTTGGGCAGGAACGCACAAGAACGGAGTTCCGGTTGGTCCCCGAGTTGGCCACACCCAGCAGGAACTCATTAGCATAATAGGCCACACCCAACAGCAGAAACTCATTAGGATTGGCTACATTAGGGGTGTGTGGCCTAACATGCAAAGGAGTCCCTGCTACAAAAAAAGGCCCTGGGTTTTGACAACAAACAAGGTAAACAGAATAAGAAGCAAAAGGTGGGTGTGGCTGGATGACCACACTTCTGGTAACATGGAGGATATCATGTTAGCCTAATGTGCTAATGAGCGGTGCTGTCAGGGGTGTGGTCCAATATGCTAATGAGTTCCTGCTGTTGGGTGTGGCCTATTATGCTAATGAGTTCCTGCTGGGCTTTTTCTACAAAAAGAGACCTGCTTTGAACACTTGAAAGCACTACGTAAAGGCTAATACTTTACTTCTGTCAAAAGTCAAGTCCACTCACCCGAGGCGAGTAATAATTCCTTTGGGGAAAGAGACCCACTGCTCCACTCATATCCCAGAACATGCTTTTGGGCACAATGATTTTTTAAAAAAATATATTCGCAAGGCTACTTTATATAGCAAGTTTACCATGAACCTTGAATATTTTATGCGTTACAGCTCTTTGGTTCTTTCCAAGACCCTTAAGGTCACTTTCTCAACTGGCCTTTTTGAGATTGTTTTTTGGGGGGTTTGTTTTTTTTAAAAGAGGAGAGGGCACAGGGAAAAAAAAATTAAACCCCAAGGGAAGTCTTGTTCAAAATGGAATCACTTGCTTTTTTGGGCTCTTCGTTTTGCTCGGCGGTCTTCTTAAGGCTTTGCTGAAACGCCTGAAGGTTAAACAGCATCAGCTTCAGAGCTTCCACCGGGCCGTGATGATTCCCTCCGGAAAAAGTGCTCTCCTAGAACCAACGACAGACATGGCGAAAAAGGAACACTGAGCTTAATGCTGGGGGAGGGGAAAAAGTCCTCCTCCCGGATGAAATTTTAAGCTTGTGATTTAATGGATTTTCCAGCTTTAGCACTGTTGGGGGTGGGGGAAAATGCTGTCAGGTCGCAGCCGATTATGACAACCCCATTAGGTTTTCAAGGCACGAGACGCTCAAGAGGTGGTTTGCCATCGTTCGTCTCTTTGGGCGATTTCTCACTAGAGCTGCCTCGCAGCACAGCCGCCGTTTGCCCCGACACAAACATGTCAATTTCACACCCGAGGCTGCGGGGCTGCTTTTGACCCGCGGCTTCGCCCAATTTCCTCCGCAGTTTCATGATCCTCAAAAACCAGGATCACGAAACTGCGGAGGAAATCGGGCGAAGCCGCGAGTCAAAATGCAGCCCCGCAGCCTCGGGTGTGAAATTGACATGTTTGTGTCGGGGCAAACGGCGGCTGTGCTGCGAGGCAGCTCTAGTGAGAAATCGCCCTTTGTATTGACCCTGAATTTCCTTGGTGGTCATGGAAGCAGTGACAGACTTCACGTTCCTGGGATCCAAGATCACGGCAGACGGTGACTGCAGCCATGAAATAAAAAGACGCCTGCTCCTTGGGAGGAAAGCGATGGCAAACCTAGACGGCATAATAAAAAGTAGAGACATCACCCTGCCAACAAATGTCCGTATGGTCAAAGCAATGGTATTCCCAGTAGTACTGTATGGCTGCGAGAGTTGGACCATAAGGAAGGCCGAGCGCCGAAGAATAGATCCTTTCGAATTATGGTGCTGGAGAAGACCCATAAAAGAAGCCAATGTTGGATCAGGCCAATGGCCCATCCAGTCCAACACTCTGCCACACAGTGGCCAAAAATACCAGGTGCCATCAGGAGGTCCATCAGTGGGGCCACTCTTGAGAGTCCCTTGGACTTCAAGGAGATCAAATCACTCAATCCTAAAAGAAATCAACCCTGACTGTTCCCTGGAAGGCCAGATAACGAAGCTGAAGCTCAAATACTTTGGCCACCAAATGAGAAGGGAGCACTCGCTGGAGAAGACCCTGATGCTGGGAAAGATTGAAAGGAAAAAGAAGCAGCGGATGGCAAAGGATGAGATGGTTAGACAGTGTTATCGATGCAATGAACATGCAATTAAGCAAACTCCAGAGGATGACGGGAGACAGGAGGGCCTGGTGTGATGTGGGCCATGGGGTTGTGAAGAGTCGGACTCGACTGTGCAACTGAACAACAACAACAAAAATACATAAAAAGAGGATAGCCCTGTGCTGCTTCCTCTACCTCATGTGCTCCGATCCAATTAAAATCTAACGCTAACCAGAGTTCGCTGCTATAGCCAAACTGGTAAGCCATGGTTTGTGCTTGCCATGCCATTCAGGACTGTAAATAACAGTTAGTTTGCAGGGCAAAGGCAAACTAACAGCTAACTAGAGTTTATGCTAAGTGGAATTCACAAATCAACTTGACGTCACGGAAGGTCAGTGTTTAATCCCATAATACCAAACCTGCGAGAAAGTATCCCCCCAGGAGCCTTCTGCCTTCCCTCTCTCGCACCAGTTGCTTGTGGGCTGGGTAAGAGCCCTGGACAGGCCGATTCCGACCCCAGCCCACATGTTTGACACCCCTGCCTTATACAGTGCAGCATATTCTTGTACTGGGGAAGAGGCTCATGTATCAAAGAACTTCGTGTCAGGGGAAAGAAACCAGTTAATGGATCTGATCTGCAGGATCCAACCTAGTGGAACAGACATCCAATGCACATCCAGAGTAACATATGGTCAGAGAGCCAGTTTGGTGAAGTGGTTAAGACTCTGATCCGGGAGAACTGGGTTTGATTCCCTACTCCTCCACTTGCAGCTGCTGGGTGACCTTGGGCAAGCCATAGTTCTCTCAGAGCTGTTCTCTCAAGGACAGCTCTGGAAAGAGCTCTCTCAGCCCCGCCTAACTCACAGGGTGTCTGTTGTGGGGAGGGGAAGGGAAAGGAGTTTGTAAGCCACTCTGAGACTCCGAGTGAAGGACGGGGTATAAACCCGATCTCTTCTTCTCCTCCTCCTCTTCTTCTAATGCCAAGGAATAGCCGGGCACGACATGAACAAGCCCTGTGCTGCTTCCTCTACCTCATGTGCTCCGATCCAATTAAAATCTAACGCTAACCAGAGTTCGCTGCTATAGCCAAACTGGTAAGCCATGGTTTGTGCTTGCCATGCCATTCAGGACTGTAAATAACAGTTAGTTTGCAGGGCAAAGGCAAACTAACAGCTAACTAGAGTTTATGCTAAGTGGAATTCACAAATCAACTTGACGTCACGGAAGGTCAGTGTTCAATCCCATAATACCAAACCTTGGGATTCCACCCGAAACCTACTTGTCCAAGTGAGGACAGTTTGGTTGCACTGACAAACTTGAAAGGGAAACGTAACATTTCTCCGGCACTCCCTGAGTTTTAGATTTTCTTGTCAGAGACAGAACTCCTGGATAGGATTCTGGGTGCTGTTCTAGGGGCAGAAGGGCAATTGACACGGAAGTGATGCTTACAGGTGTGTGGGATTTCACTTTCACTCTACATGAACTGAGATAAGTACTCTGACAAAGTACTTCATGTTCCCTTGACTACACAGGGGATGCAAGAAGTGGCACTGGTCCAAAGCAAAATCCAAAATATCTGATGAAGACCAAAACCACACAAAGCCAATGCTCCCTCTAAGCTGTGGAGTCCTGTGAGCAAAAGTTCTACTTTGTGAGCTACTGGCATTAAAGGTGTGAGCGAGCAATTTGGCGACTACATACATTAGTATGCTCTGGAGCACGTCCTTCCTGAGCCAAGACAAAAAAGTGTGGGCCGGAGGCTAAAAAACTGTGAGCTAGCGCACACTAACTCAGCTTAGGGGGAACACTGCACAAAGCCATAGGCAAGTCAACTGAGTTCTCAAGAACATTTCCGCAGGCTGAAACAGGAAGTGTGTGTCTGGGGAGGGGATGTTTCAACTCATGATCCTAAGGCATTCATATCCTGGGTAGAAGACCAGATAGACCAGAACAGATAGTGGTGACGGGGGAAATGGCTATCAGTTTGTACCTCTGGCTTTCTGAGAAAAGGGGGGAGGGAGAAGGCTATCCTCCCAAATTTAGTGGTTCATCAGGTGTCCCCTACGTTGCAGTGACAAACAAGACTTTCAGGGAAAATGTAAATGCCATTATTGAGCTTTTTGGTAAAGAAGCTGCCAATTATGGTCCAGAAAAGCCTGAGAACAGCTGCTTTATACATCTGTATCTCACAGTGTGTGTATACATATATATATATATATATATACACACACACACACACACACACTCACATGTACACAGAGAGAGAGAGAGAGAGAGCAAAAACCAGGCTATTCACTTAAGCTAGACTTTTAACTTACCTCACTGCTGTTCTTTAGACAATCTTCTAAAAATCCATCAACAATGCTCGCTTTGGATGGTTGCGGAGAGTTCTCTTCACAACGTACAGGCACTGGAGACTTCCTAAAGACAGACACCTGAAGTTTAAAGTCTGAAGTAGCCCCCTCCCCAGGAGATTCATCTGTCCCCTTCTGTTGCCGTTTTCCGCCAGTGGGTGAAGACTTTTTTGTTTTATTTGGCATTCCCTCGAGATCCGTCCACCCTGCCCAATGTTTTAATTGTTGTATTTGTGTCCTTATATATATTTTGCTCTGCTTTTAATTCTCCGAATGATATCTGTCTTGTGTGTGTTAGAACATAAGAGAAGCCATGTTGAATGAGGCCAATGGCCCATCCCGTCCAACACTCTCTGTCACACAGTGGCCAAAACCCCGGTGCCATCAGGAGGTCCACCAGCGGGGCCAGAACTCCAGAAGCCCTCCCACTGTTGCCCCCCTCCAAGCACCAAGTGTTTTTTTTTGGGGGGGGGGAGGTGGATGTAAAATGTGATTTTATTATGTATGTTTGGATTTGGTAGCTGCCTTGATGGCCTCTTGCGGGGACAGAAAGGAAATGCATAATAAAAAAATAAACAAATCAGTTGTATATAAACTATTAGGGCTTTTCTGCTCTCAAGATTAACAATAACATTCTACTTTAAATGTAGTACAGTTCCATCCCACCCCTCCTCTGGGAATCTCAAGGCAGCAAATATGTTGGCTCTCCCTTTTTTCGCAACGAGCCTGTGAGATAGGATGATGCAGAGAAGAAATGATTGGCCTGGGATCCCCCGACAGCTTCGCGACAAGCAGGAATCTGAATCTGCCTCTCCTAGCCTCTAACCACTACGCAACACTGTTCTCTACTGCCAACAGTTAAAGCTTCAGGGAAAACCCTGAGTCCCTCTGCCAAAAGACAAGTGCCACGGACAACGTGAAACAGTTCAACATTTGGCATCATTTAAATGCTCAGCTCTTTTAAAAATGCGCTGTTTATCGCATTGCATTTCTGTACTACCTGTTCGCACCGGTGTGTCAGCTTACAAAGAAACTAGTTAACCATTTAGTACATATAAAGGGAGCTGCGGTGGCTCAAGTGGTTAAGACGCTGAACTGCAGGCTGTGGGAGGTCGGTAGTTCAGCAGTTCGAGACCCGAGTTGCCGCATGATGGAGTGTGCTCCCGTCTCTAGTTCCAGCTCCTGCCAACCTAGCAGTTCGAAAGCAAGTATTCCCAGTAGTCATGTACGGCTGCGAGAGTTGGACTATAAGGAAGGCCGAGCGCCGAAGAATAGATTCTTTTGAACTATGGTGCTGGAGAAGACTCTTGCGAGTCCCTTGGACTGCAAGGAGATCAAATCAGTCAATCCTAAAAGAAATCAACCCTGACTGTTCCCTGGAAGGCCAGATAATGAAACTGAAGCTCAAATACTTTGGCCACCCAATGAGAAGGGAGCACTCACTGGAGAAGATCCTGATGCTGGGAAAGATTGAAGGTCAAAGAAAACGGGGACGGCAAAGGATGAGATGGTTAGGCAGTGTCATAAATGCAACAAACATGAAATTGAGCCAACTTCAGAGGACGGCGGAAGACCGGAAGGTCTGGCGGGAGCTGGTCCATGGGGTCGCGAAGAGTCGGACTCGACTGCGCGACTGAACAACAACAAAACCGACCACACATGAAGCTGCCTTTATACCGAATCAGACCCTTGTTCCATCAAAGTCGGTACTGTCTACTCAGACTTGCAGCAGCTCTCCAGGATCTCAGGCTGAGATCTTCCACTTCCCTGGTAGTAGTGGTTAGGAGCGCAGACCCTAATCTGGGAAAACCGGGCTTGGTTCCCCACTCCTCCACATGCAGCTGCTGGTGTGACCTTGGGTCAGTCACACATTCTCTCAGAGCTCTCTCAGCCCCTCCTACCTCACAGGGTGTCTGCTGTGGGGAGGGGAAGGGGATTGTAAGCGGCTCTGAGACTCCGAGTGAAGGGCGGGTTATAAATCCAATCTCTTCTTTTTCTTCTTCCTGCCTGATCCAGATACCGACCCTACTTAGCTTCTGAAATCTGACAGACTCAGGCTACACTATGCCCCCTTCCCTCCACTTATTCCCTAGCTGCACTCAAATATTCTGCTGAGCCTAGAATGGCACTGTGTAGGTGCCACTACCTTTCTAAATTGCTTGGCGTCATTTGCTAGTCAGGGCAAGAGCTGAGGGCAGCTTCGCTTCCAAGCCAGCAGCATCCGCCAGGGGGCAGACAGAGCAGTATAACAAAGCTTCCCCTTCTGGCTCCCTTCCCTTCCTGCAGGCATCTCCAAACCGGCAGTCGTCAATGGCAACAGTCACCGTCTAGGGCCTCCCAGGATTCCCTGGCCGCTCTGCAAAACGCCCCCAAGGAACTGAACTCTCTCGGAACTGGCCTGTTCCTAACTTAGCACGGCTGGCTTTAAAAGCGCTTAAAAATAGTCGCTGTGATTCTTGCGTCTTGACGTCCTTAACCTTTTTTGTTAATTTTGTAACCGTAGGCTACTCTGGGCGTTCCAGGATACCGATCCAAAACAAAACCTGTTTGGTGAATCATTCACATTTACAGAAACTTTACTTAGCACTGGCAATAATTCGGTACATTTCTTAAAAACTTTTGGGAAAAGGTTCTGAACGAGGTGTTATTGATTACTGGGATTACAGAACCAATGACGCCGGAAGTTCTGTTTTTAAGTTTATGGCCAGACGATTCTGTTCCTAAAGTTCGAGAATGACTGATTGCCTTTGCTCTTAGTGGCTGTTAAAACCAACTATTGCTACCGTTTGGAAAAGAATGGAAATACCCATGATTGCGCTGTGGCCTCGTAAGCTTTGGGATATGCAGGGCTATTTTGGGGCAGGAACGCACAGGAACAGAGTTCCGGCTGGCTTCAAAGTTCCGGCTGGCTTCAGAGTTGGCCACGCCCACTACAGCCAAAACCTCTGCATGTGTGGCTACAGAGGGAAGGCCTGGAGAGCAAACCCCCCCCCCGGCTACTCTGAGGCGGGCAGGCCAGGGGGGGCCCTGGAAGGATCGGGGAGGCATTTAAATGCCTCCCCGTGCCTTCCCCAGCCTGTCCAAGGGCTGGCTTGCCTGGGCTACCCGCAGCCACGGGGCACACAGGCAAACCAAGGGAAGGCATGGGGTGTGGCCTAATATGCTAATGAGTTTCTACTTTTGTTGTGGCCTATTATGCTAATGAGTTCCTGCTTGGCTTTTTCTACAAAAAAAGCCCTGGGGATATGTATCTGATGAGGAAAAAATCACACAAGAAGGTGACCAAATTTGAATTGCACGCTTCTAGCTCTGATTTTGCTGGGGTGTGGGGCATCATTCTAGACTACCTTAAAACTTTAATTTTTCTATTTAAAGTTTCCTCAGCTAGCATAATAGACTTTGAGAGACATATACGGAGCAGTTTTTATAGAATGCTGCTTGGATTCTAATAGGGCTAGTGTATCGATCCGGTTGTTTCAGTTTCAGTTTATTAGGTTTAAAAGCCTACGGGCCATACACCATAAGCATTAATTTTAAACTTTTTAAAAGGTTTTAAACATTTAAGAAGACAGTATAACAGAAATGTGCCACATCTATTACACAATTATTGCACAGAGTATTCAGAAGAAGTCACAACCTTGTAGATTCGGAAAATTTAATAGCCAGTTTCTCAGGAACTTTTCTCTCGCGACTGCATGTTTTGGGAAACCCAAAAAAAATATGGGCAAGTGAGTCTATAGTTGCTAATGGGCAGTCGCAATAGTGTTGACTTGCTGGAATGCCCTGAAAACGACCCTTCCTCTGTGCAGATGGGAACGCATCGCAGCATGCCAGTTGTATTTTCAATTACTTTCGTTGTGGGATTTTTGATGCATTACTCGTTAATTTATATGTGGATGTACTTGTAAAATGTAAAATAAAATAGTTTTGGAGGGGGGGAAGTTAATCTGAGTATTTTCCCGCAAAGTTTCTGCTTGTGAAGCAGTCCTTTCCCCACCTTTCATTCCCCAAGCAGCCTCCTACAACCCTATAGGAACAGGGTCGTCGGAGGCTGGGTCAGACCAGTGGCCTATCTCATCTAGTATGCTGTTTCACACTGGAGACCTGATTCGAGATCTCAGTAAACAATGATGCACCCGAGATTGAGGGCTGCAGCAGGGAGGGGAACACCGAATGGACAGGGCACAGGATCCAACCCTTCTTTCACAGTGAACTCAAGAGTATATCTGTTAGGGTCAGTGAGCACAACTTGGGAGATTCCAAGAAATTTTACCCTCTCTGGCCTCGGGCATGTCAACTTCCCTGTTTCTGGCTTCTGAATTTTGTACCTGCTACATAAATTACTTATTGCTAATGTATGTTTCTCGGCTTGAGTAGAGAAAGGGGTAAAGTAACTGGTACGCGCCCTGACCATCTCTAGGACGCCAGAGAAAGAAAGAAAGCTACTGATTCCAAGCTTTTTTAAAAGATGGGAGAATAACTTTCATGCATGTTTATCGAAACAGATTATCTACAGCAGTAGAAGAGAGCAAAAGTCCAGTAGCACCTTAAAGACTAACAAAATATGTGGCAGGGGATGAGCTTTTATGAGTCCCTGCTCACTTCTTCAGATACAGCTAGAATGGACGTCCATCAGTCCTATTTATTGGAAAGTGGGGTGATTTCAGATGTTGAATGATATTAGCAGGTGAATGACAATAGCGGGCATGATTGGGTTAGGTGAGATATTCAGATGGGTAATAGGTAAAGGTTCCCTTGCTCAAAAGCCAGTCGAATCCAACTCTAGGGTTGCGGTGCTCATTTCCGTTTCAAAGCCGAAGAGCCAGCGCTGTCCGAAGACATTTCCGTGGTCATGTGGCCGGCATGACTAAACACCAAGGCGCACGGAACGCTGTTACCTTCCCACTGAAGTGGTACCTATTTATCTACTTGCAATCTCTTGCTTCCGAACTGCTAGGTTGGCAGGAGCTGGAACTAGAGACGGGAGCTCACTCCATCATGCGGCACACTCGAGTCTCGAACTGCTGAACTACCGACCTTCCACAGCCTGCAGTTCAGCGTCTTAACCACTTGAGCCACCGCAGCTCCTAGATGGGTAATAGGCATGGAGAAATCAGCACTGGTAATGAGACAGGAAACCTAGGTCTCTATTCAGTCCAGGTGGATGCATTGTCTTGAGCTTCATTACCAATTGCAATTTAGCAGTCTATCTATAGCTTACCCACAAGTCTCTGAAAATGCTTGGAATAGCGGATTATTGTAGTATGCCTAATCCCTCGTTATGCCTAATGCTACCTACAGTTTCTAGCAAACTCCACTGATACAATCCTGTGACATCTCTGTGCTGTCATTATGGGGATGGGGCTATCTCAGCAAGGGGGTGACAGAAAGGGACTGCAACAGCACTTGCCAGGAACTAGATTTCTGTTGCTGCTTGTGAGAAGTGGCTATCCCCCTGATTGGGATAGTCCTGACCTCATCCTATCTTGGAAGCTAAGCAGGATCGGCCCTGGTCAGTATTTGGAAGGGAGACCACCAAGGCGTACCAGGGCTGTGATGTGGGTGGCAGGCAATGACAAACCACCTCTGAACCGCCTCTTGCCTTGAAAACCCCATGGGGTAGCCATAAATCAGCTACAATTTGATGATTAAAAAATCGTAGGCATTCCTCTCAAAAATACAGACATCTTATTGAAGAAACACTTCTCTATAGTTTATTTGTGCATGGGGGGGCGGTGATTGGAAGGCTGTTGTGAAAACCAAGATGCTGTATCATCGGTTATATTTTAAAGCAGGCCTGTAGCTTTGGTGGGGCTTTTGGGGGCTCTGTCAGCATATACAGATCGCTGTCAAGATCACAGCAAGTCATGCAGACGAGATGGTTAGATCAGGACAATCTTAGCTGACAGCTGAGTGATCATGTGACCCAGGATTGCATCATTTCTTTAGGTGTCACTGTGACTCAGCAACTGTACAGTACCGTATTCTGATTGGTCTAAACTTGTATATATTGCAACCAGTTCTTGGTGATTGACTGCCTATATGGCTACTGCTGTTCTGCATAGCACTTCGATGGTTGGAGTCCTGAACTGCTACAAACTATATATTCTCTGTAAATAAATTGTACGTACTCTGTAAAGACAACAGAGTGCTCTGCTACTTTTTCGGCTTCAAACACCGTCAGGCTCCTGTAAATGCTTTTTTCAATCGTTTTTAAACGTTTTTTAAATGGCGTGCACTACTTTAAGCAGAGTGGGGTGCTGTAGTGGACTCATTCCCGCACTGAGCAAGGGGGGTAGAGTACGTGACCTCTAAGATCCCTGCTAACTCTGTGTCGAGAAACTGGTCTCCTTTAAGAGAGTTTTTCTGCCTAAGTGTTAGCTTCCTTGATTATAGAAGCCGACTTGTGATCAGAATTGTTGCTTAGGCTGGCAGAAGTGATTAACTTGCAGCAGCTGAGAACCGTCATCTAAAGTGGCTGACAGCTTGCAATTAAGAGATCTGTCCCGGTCACAGCTTTCTGTTGGCTAAATGGCTTTTCTCTCTGCACTTTCAGCCCCCACCAGAACAAAAAACTGCCCCACAAGCCTGGCTATGGGCCTGTTTTAAAACCTGATCTTCACCCAAGAAGCTCAGGACAACCTGTGCACTTCCAATCTGTCATGGCGCTATTGAATAATAAAACTGGGAAATCTTGGCAACGTTTTCTAAATAAAAATATATATCCTGCTACTCACAAACCAACTGGAACATTATCCCATGATCTTTCTGCCTCTAGTAGGTCCACCGTACAAGGACTGCTGTCGTTGTTCAGGAAGCTGGATAATTCATTGGCGGAGGACTCTAGAGATCTCTTCACCTTCAGGAGGAGTGCCTTGGGGTCATCCTCTAAAATAATTGTTAGCCGAGATTAATTGCAAGACTCAGCACATACGCGTGACTCAAACATGTAAAGCATATTACCAGGTGCTGAAAATCAAATGCAGATACAAATATATCAAGTTAAAACTCTCTTGTCTTTCAGTGAAACCCAGAAAGAAATCTGAAAAGTCCCAGAGGGGTAAGCTGTGTTAGCCTGTTACAGTAAATGTCCCAAAGAGGCCTTAAAGACAAGCAGGTTTGTTGCATGCGTGTCTCTTCTAGACCTGAAACTAAGAACTTGAGACATCTCCACAGCAGAACGGGAAGAAAGAACGTGTTCATTATACTCAGCCTGCCAGAAATCAAGAGACTGAGGAGGATAACACAGCAAATAATGAGCGCATTGATTAAGCGCTCATCTTCTCTTATCCTACCCAATCACTGGCTGCTTGATGCAGCCTCACACTTGTTCCAGGAGAAAATAATGCAAAGGGAGCCTAGCTACTGAACTACGTGGCACCTGTCTCTCCTGGTGTTTGCCCCATCAACATGGTACCATGCATTTAACTCCCTTATTAAGACGCTGAACTGCAGGCTGTGGAAGGTCGGTAGTTCAGCAGTTCAAGACCCGAGTGTGCCGCATGACGGAGTGAGCTCCTGTCTCTAGTTCCAGCTCCTGCCAACCTAGCAGTTCGAAAGCAAGAAATTGCAAGTAGATAAATAGGTCCCGCTTCGGTGGGAAGGTAACAGCGTTCCGTGCGCCTCGGTGTTTAGTCATGCCGGCCACATGACCACGGAAACGTCTTCGGACAGCGCTGGCTCTTCGGCTTTGAAACGGAGATGAGCACCGCAACCCTAGAGTCGGATTCGACTGGCTTTCGAGCAAGGGAACCTTTACCTTTAGGAAGTCACATCAGGAAATTCTCTTGGCAGAGGTGTTTTGGTAGCCAAAGGGCTACTGCTCCTGACAGTGCTGTCCTCTCTGACCTTCTGTCTAGAGAAAAGACACCCAAGCTTAGAGTAAAAATCAAAGCTGTCCTATCAAATAGGAGTTAAGATAAGAGATGGAGGGAGAGAGGTAGGAACTTAAGAGTGCAAAAAATAAATATCATTTGAGCATCAGCTGAACAGGAGGCCAAGTTGAGAGATTACAATTAATAAAGATTGTCTGGGAATATGTACATGTTATATATTCTCCTTACTGAGAATGGCTTGGTGTGAGGAACTTAGAAAACAAAACAGTTAATAAGGATTGCCTGGAGGAAAATAGGGTTGGCAGGCACCCCCCCCCCCAGTGGAGGCGAGGGTCCCCCGCTGCCAGGCCCCACCGCCCAGCTGCCGATTAGCTAGCTGGCGGGAGGAACTTACCCCGAAAAAGAGGAAGGCTCTGCCAATGTGCGGTGACGTGCCCACATCACCTGGAAGTGACATCGTCATGTTGTGGAGACGGTCTGGTATTTGGGCAAAAGCTCTATGGTAGAAGCCAAATTTACCACTGAGTTTTTGCCCGAATACCAGAGCGTCACCCTGACGTGATGACATCACTTCTGGGTCATGTGGGCAGTGATGTAGGCACGTCGCCGCACGTCAGCAGGCCCTCCCTCCTGCTCCCAGTAAGTCCCCCCCATCCCCCGCCGGTTGCCAGGATGGAAGCTGCACTGACCCTGCCTCAGCGGGGAGGGCGGAGCATAAATCAAATAAATAAATAGAAGGTAAAGGTAAAGGTTCCCTTGCTCGAAAGCCAGTCGAATCCGACTCTAGGGTTGCGGTACTCATCTCCGTTTCAAAGCCGAAGAGCCAGCGCTGTCCGAAGACGTTTCCGTGGTCATGTGGCCGGCATGATTAAACGCCAAGGCGCACGGAACGCTGTTACCTTCCCACCGAAGTGGTCCCTATTTATCTACTTGCAATTTCTTGCTTTCGAACTGCTAGGTTGGCAGGAGCTGGAACTAGAGACGGGAGCTCACTCCATCTTGCAGCACTCGGGTCTCGAACTGCTGAACTACCGACTTTCCACAGCCTGCAGTTCAGCGTCTTAACCACTTGAGCCACCGCAGCTCCTAAATAGAAGAGGAGCAGACAAAAAAAGAAAAGGGGCACATACAGCATTACTGAGTGCTACACAAAAAGCTGTAAGATGAAACAGCATAGTAACAAAGAAGAAACAAGCAGCATGGTTGGGCTAGATGGCATCTTCCCTGGATCAACAGTAGAAAGGTGGTGTGGAAATGGACTCAAAGCATTTTGGATTCACCATCACTTTACAGTTCAGAGCTTCACTGACAGCCAAATACAGTGCTTCAGGGAGTTACCTTTCCACGAATGCCTGACCTCTCTTGAACCATCAGACATAAAGTATACCCTCTGGCAGTTGTCTTGGCAGTTTCTTAGAACAGCGTCCTTATTTTGTAGGTCCACTGACCCGTCGCGTTCAGAATGTCTAGAGCCGTTTGATCGGCCGAGCATTTTATCAGCTTCTTGCTCTCTTTCAAGTGGGAAGAACCGATGTCAACATCACCAGTCTGGGACAAACTTTCATTAGCTGAATTTGGCAAGAGGTTATGGCTGTCAAGCCAAGTGGGATACTTGGAATCGGGAATGCTGCTGATCCCCGAAACACTCAGGTCAGATTTTTGACTCGTGAGCCACCTCGGATAGTTCTTACGAGACACAGGGCCCGACTCCTCCTGCTCAACGAAGCGGTTCTGCAGAGAATGCACTGAAGCGCCAGAATTGTATTTATGAAACGTATGTTGTGTGGGGACGTTTCTACGGAAGTCTTTGTATGAAGAGGAAATAACAGGATCTCCCGGAAAACTCATCCCTCCTTCGTTGCCAAAGGATGTGGCCCGATGACGAACGTAAGAGGCAGAAGTCTGGGGTTTCCTCTTTGATTTGCTATGCTGATGTGCTGGCCGTAAGGCAACAACTTGGTTAAAAGACACAGAACCGTCTGGAGGAAAGGCTAGGAGATCGTCGGTGGTGAGGCTCAGCAGGTCCGAGTCACAAGTAATTCTTCTTCTCGAAAGGGGGGAAACGGGAACTTTTACTGCATGCCGCTTAAAGGTCTCCAGAACTGGAAAATAAGAAAACGATTTAGTGTAATCCAGAAATTCGAGGGGGAAAAAGATGCTTTGAAAGTTGCTGCTATTGTAGCTTTTTGCTAGACGTTTACCGTTAGCAACCCTGCAGTCACAAATTTATCCAAGATAAATAATTATTTCCAGAAAAGCCATGTAAGGACACAAAGGAACTCCTGGGGCAGGAGGGCCATGTTTTCTGTGCCTAATTTCAGGGTTGCTAGGAGCATCCACAACAGACAGCTTAGTGTACTGCATTATTATTGTAATTCTCTCTACATGGGGCTGCCGTTGACTCTGCTCTGGAAATTGCAGCTGGTGCAGAACGCAGCGGCACGGGTATTGATGTCACTGCCTGTGTGGGCCCACATCCGCCTGGAGCTGCTGAAATGCACTGGCTGCCTACTGAATACCAGATCCGTTTCAAGGCGCTGGTTCTTACCTTCAAAGCCCTATCCCGCTGCCAGCTTAGATACATCAAATCTTCTCATCGTTGATCCTTTTATAAACTGAGTCAAACATTTGCTTTGCAGGGAGGGCAGGATATAAATTGAAGGAAATAAATAAATAATGCAAAACTTTACATATACCTGTTTACGGGACCACAAAGACCTCAATGACTAACCCAGTCCATGTAGCTTTTGGACTGAAGGGTGTTGTCAAGTCAGTTGTATATTATACTCATACAATATGTTGTTGTTGTTGTTATTATTATTAATATTTTACCTGCACTCAGCAGATTATTATAGGTTGGAAATCCCCCTGAGCCAGCTTTGCAGGGAGGGCAGGATATAAATTGAAGGAAATAAATAAATAAATAATGCAAAACTTTACATATACCTGTTTATGGGACCACAAAGACCTCAATGACTAACCCATTCCATGTAGCTTTTGGGCTGAAGGGTGTTGTCAAGTTGTTTATTATACTCATACAATATGTTGTTATTATTATTATTTTACCATCAAGCCAAGCTGACTTCTGGTGACCCTTAGAGGGGCTTGGAGGCAAGGGACGTTCAGAGGTGGGTATTGCTTTATTCATCAGATTTATACCCCACCACTCCCTCGAGAAGCAAGACTCGTGGTAGCTTATGTCAGAGTGAAATGCAATTCGATATACAATCGGAAAAACAATAACAATAACTATAAAAACACAATTTAGAACCGACGATACGAATCTAGTAGTGAACATGCCTGCATCCAACAACCCAACGGTGAAATAATCCGGTGGAAACAATACAAAAAAAACAGAAGCTATAGGCAATGGATAATTAAAAGCCTGATTGAGGTGGGGAGCCGTGTTGGTCTGAAGCAACGGAACAAAGTTTGAGTCCAAAGCTTATTCCCAGAATTGAACTCTGTTGGTCTTAAAGGTGCCACTGGACTCAAGCTTTGTTCTAATTAAAAGCCCGTTGAGGCCGAGGAATGGTCTCTTGATTGCGCTCCGCTCCGCCGGGTATATTTTTATACGGTTTTAAATAGTTGTTTATCTCGTTTTAAATGGTTCTAATCTTTTAATTTCTTCTAAACTCTATTTGCGTGCCGGTTTTTAAATCGCTTCTTATCGGTTGTGTGTGATTTATGTGTCTGTGTAGGCGGTGTTCCAGCTTGTCTGCAACTGCTCTCTGTGGAGATAGGACTAAACCAAACATTAAACTATCTGTTTTTGCAGTCTCGTCATTTCTCCTTTTGACATCTTCGGGAGCTCGAGACCTAGTTTAGTTAGGGCTTGTGCTGGCTGGGTTGGGCTGGGCGGTGATGCGGCTTTAGCTACCTATACTCCGAGAGATCTATTCTAATTTTAAACTCTGCTGGATTCTGTCATCTAGTTTTATTGGCTAGCCGTGTTTTAACTCCCTTTCTTTTACTTTGGTATCTCCGAGTTATTTAACTTGTTAGTGCCAGTGTATAACTGACTTTGGCTAACTTAGTGTATGGCTGACCTTGGTCAACTTAGACAGCTTAGACTGCCATTCCTTTTATTTGTCGCTTTGCATTTATGGATGATGAATAAGAGGAGATTGGATTTACATCGCACCCTCCGCCACCCAAAGGAGTCTCTGAGCGGCTTACAATCTCCTTTCCCTTCCCCTCCCAACAGACACCCCACTGTGAGACAGGTGGGGCAGAGAGAGCTCTTCTGAGAACTGCTTGTGAGAGAACAGCTCTGAAAGAACTTGTAACTGACCCAAGCAGTCTTCCCTCTAAGCTGAGTTAGTGTGAGCTAGCTCACAGTTTTTTAGCCTCCGGCTCACACATTTTCGACTTAGCTCAGGAAGGATGGCTCCAGAGCAAACTGATTGATGCAGGAGCCAAATCGCTTGCTCGCAACTTTAATGCCAGCAGCTCACAAAGTAGAATTTTTGCTCACAAGACTCCACAGCTTGGAGGGAGCATTGGACCCAAGGTCACACCAGCAGCTGCATGTGGAGGAGTGGGGAATCAAACCCGGTTCCCCCAGATTAGAGTCCACACTCCTAACCACTACACCAGACCGGTTGAAGGGAATTTAGCTGTATGAGTTTAGATTTATAATAAATCATATTTAAATTTATTTGTTAGGGCTTACCCCTTTGCATTTTACCTGTGGGGGGTTCCTTTGCATTTTGTGTGCAAGATTTCTCTGAATAATTTTAGTTCGTGTTTGCTCTGCTTTAGAAGAGTCACAGTTAATAAATAACCTGTTTATCAGAGCACAAGGACATTTAGCTGGATTATTTAGACTGCATGGATTATTTCGCTTAATTGAATTAACTAGCTGGTCCATCAGAAAATATACAGGAAGGAAAAGGGCAGTGCCCTCTGAGGGTCATTTGCCTGTTTGTAAGCAGAGCAGAATGGAAGAATTTTTTAAAAACCTTTCACCAACAACAGTTTTAATAGATTTGACAGTTTATCCAGTGACATTCCAGACCCTTGCTACCTTTCAATTTATTCCCTACAGGACCCTCTAATCAATTTGGAAGACTTTGATGAGATCCTGAAAAACAAAACAAAACAAAAGCTACCACAAACGACGGATCAGAGACACTTGCCTCGCTAGCATCCCAAAACCTTTTAGGTCCATTCTGCATCTGGCATTCGCTCCACATTTTATTAGCACTCAACCTTGTTCCCCCTTGCATTAGAATATCCAGGGCTATTTTTGGGCAGGAACGCGCAGGAACGGAGTTCCGGCTGGCTCCCAAGTTGGCCACGCCCAGCAGGAACTCATTAGCATAATAGGCCACACCCAACAGCAGAAACTCATTAGGGTTGGCTACATTAGGGGTGTGTGGCCTAACATGCAAAGGAGTTCCTGCTACAAAAAAAGGCCCTGGGTTTTGACAACAAACAAGGTAAACAGAATAAGAAGCAAAAGGTGGGTGTGGCTGGATGACCACACTTCGGGTAACATGGGGGTGCGGCCTAATGTGCTAATGAGCTGTGCTGTCAGGGGTGTGGCCTAATATGCTGATGAGTTTCTGGTGTTGGGTGTGGCCTATTATGCTAATGAGTTCCTGCTGGGCTTTTTCTACAAAAAGAGCCCAGAATATCTGTTTTCATTGCATTGCCTCAGATCCTGGTTTCTGCATTGTGTCAGTACTTGCCTCAGCGGTCATTAGCCGCCTGACCCAAGTAATCCATGGTGAGGTGATAAACAGAGAGGGGGAAATAGGGGCGGGGGAACCGACGGAGATGAATGAAGCCATGTCAAGTTGTCTGCTTATTGTTCCTTTTGAACCGGAAGCGGAGGAAGGAAAAGGTGCCGCTCAAAACCACATTCAGAGACCCCGGGGGCAATGCCGTCCTGACTGCAAAGTCACCCCTAAACAGCCATAAATCTATGCAGAAGGTACCGTAAAACCCGATGGACAAAGAAAGTGAAAGCAGCATGCAGTGTAGAGGGAGATTAACCTCCCAACGTGGCTGTGAAAAAACGTCAAGGAAACAGATGGGTGCAGAATCAGCCATTACCTCAGAAACTCTGCCAAGAACATTTGAAAAGAGCAACCTGCTCTCAGAACGCATTGGCATTCTCTTAGCCAAACCAAGTGGAAAGGACTGTTCAGGCCCTGACGATAAAAGATTCAAAAGCCTGTTGGGAGAACTAGAGATGTGAAGGCCCGGAAAAAAAATGGAAAAATTCAGGGGGGGGACGGTTTTCACCCGTTTTTTTTCCTGAAGCCTTTTTGTTTTTTTTCTGAAAAATTGAAAAAAGAAAAGAAAAGAAAAAAAATTGATTATGGAACGTTTTATTTTAACATGATGAATAAAATATTTTAAGACAAGGTGTTCAAATATTTTCCAAATCATTTCTAAAATATATATATATATTGTATCAGGTTGATCTAATTTCTGTGCACTGAGGACAAGCAAGTCCTAGGTTACAAACTGAACTCTCCAATGCAAGAACAAGATGCATTTCTTCCTTTAGGAGGTGCGATTGTCAGAAGAAAATAAAAAAGTTTCAGTTTTGTTTTTGCATGTGGGTGGGTATTCTGTTTGTAATAATTGTTTGGATACACTATATTTTTAATATGCTAGTTGTGATAATTTCATGCCAAGTAAAAATGTCCATAGTCATATTTTATGTTCCTAAAGTAACAGAATGACTTTCAATCTAGAAAACAAAAGAAATGCTAATGTAGCATTTTTTCAATTTTTCCAAAAATTTCCTTGGAGCCAGAAGACAAGCCGAGAGACATCGAGCCGAGGAACGCCAACCCGAAGACCGTCTGGTACCTCCACTGGGTGCTGATAGGGACTGCCCCCCACCCTGTGTTCTGTGGCCATAGATTAGGTATGAGAATCAAAAGTGTAAGCCGCTCAGAGACCCCTTAGCGGGGGTTCGAGCGGGGTAATAAATCGAATGATAAATAAATAAAATAAAATAAAATAGAGGAGAGGTGAGCTGCTTGAGGGTGGGCACCACTAAAAGATTGTGTGACGAAGAGCACAGGCAATGTGGGGGGGATCGCAGTGGGAGAGGTGGTCCTCCACAGACCAGCAGTATAAAACCTACATTAACAGAAGGCAGAGTTGAAATTCTCAAGAACCAACGTCAAAAGAAGAGGAGGGGGGACAGGACGGCTCTCTTGAAGTCTTTGAAGGGCTGTCCCTTAGAGGAGGGCAGGGAGCTGTTCCTGTTGGCAGCAGAGGAGAGGACATGCAAGAATGGGCTTAAATTAAGGGCAGGAAGGTACTGGCTGGATCTTAGGAGAAACGTTTTGACAGTAAGAGTTGCGCAGCAGTGGAATCAGCTGCCCAGGGAGGTGGTGAGCTCCCCCTCTCTGGCAGTCTTTAAGCAGCGGCTGGACAAACACTTGCCAGGGATGCTCTAGGCCAGTGGTGGCGAACCTATGGCACGGGTGCCAGAGGTGGCACTCAGAGCCCTCTCTGTGGGCATGCGTGCCATCGCCTCAGCCAGGCCCAGACCTTCATTAAAGTGTCGAATTCACTGCCAAATAATTGTAAGTAAATGAAAGCATTTGGGATTGCTTTCCTTACTTTGTTTGGATCATCTTAAGTTAATGTATGAGTTGTTTTTTTCTAAAGTAAAACCTCAGTATTCAGGTTAAATTGCCGTGTTGGCCCTTTGCGATAAATAAGTGGGTTTTGGGTCGCAGTTTGGGCACTCGGTCTCTGCTCTTGGCTGATCCTGCATGAAGCAGGGCATTGGACTAGATGGCCTGTATGGCCCCTTCCAACTCTGTGACTCTGTGATCCTTCCAAACCTTTGGTTGATTATTTCCCTCCTCTCCCTTTTGCTGTTGCAGTGATTTTACTGGCCTGCATGTGTGTAAAGTACCTTCAAGTCACAGCTGACCTATGGTGACCCATTATGGGGTTTCCAAGGCAAGAGACATTCAGAGATGGTTTGCCATTTGCTTGTCTCTGTGTTGCAATCCTGGACTTCCTTGGGAGTCGCCCATCCCGTTACTAACCTGGGCTGACCCTGCTTTAGCTTCCTAGATCTGATCAGACTGGGCTAGCCTGGACAATCCAGGTCAGAGCTACTGGCCTAGTACTGCTAGTTCTTATTCTTTGCGGCTAATGATCAAAAGATCGATTGTATCTTAAATGTCTGAGTGCTACAAAAGCTGTAGATGACCTGGCTATGATGTTCTTTTCACTTTTTCTTATGAAGTTGTTGCTTTTTGTTACTTGGCAAAATACCTTCTGTGCAAAGGGCGAGATAACAAATATTGGCATGCAGAGGGTTCAAAGTTCAGTCCCTGGCATCGCCAGTTAAAATCAGGTAGTGAAAACCCTCTGCCTGAGACCTTGGAAAGCTGCTGCCAGTCTGACAATACTGACCTTGATGGACCAAGGGCCTGATTCAGTAAAGGTAGTTTCATGTGTGTTCAGTACTGTAAACCACAACTGAAGAAGGAGGAGGAGGAGGACGACGAGGAGGAGGGTTGGATTCATACCCTGTCCTTCACTCGGGAGTCTCAGAGTGGTTTACAAACTCCTTTCCCTTCCCCTTCCCACAACAGACACCCTGTGGGGGAGGTGGGGCTGAGAGAGCCCTTTCCAGAACTGTCCTTGAGAGAACAGCTCTGAGAGAACTTGTGACTGACCCAAGGTCATCCAGCAGCTGCAAGTGGAGGAGTGGGGAATCAAACCCGGTCCTCCCAGATTAAAGTCCAGTAGCACCTTAAAGACTAACAAAATTTGTGGTATGGTATGAGCTTTTGTGAGTCAGTGCTCATGTCTTCTGATACAGATAGGATGTGAGTCTGTCTGTATATTTTGAAGAGTGGAGTGATTTCAGACGTCAAATAGGATTAGCAGCTCAATGACAAGAGCAGGTGTAATTCTATTAGGTGTGATATGCTGAGAGGTAGTGACTGGATTCTGAAATCACTCCACTTTCCAATGTAATGTCACAATGATATCACCAGTGCTAAAAGAAATGGTATTAACGGGACTCTGGTTGACTTCATTTCCACAGCGGTCCTTAATGCTAGCTAAGTTTTCATTCATCACACATTTTGCAAAAGAAAAAAAAATGCTACGTACCATATTTTTGCTGGAAACAATCCTTTGAAGGCCCGAAGTCTCTAGGAGTGCTCTGGTTAACACGAATTTTTCCAGGCTTTATTTCTGGAGACACAAGACTGAGATTGTAATCTTTAATGTAGTCCTCCAAAGCGTGCGATGCTGAGCTATACAGCCTGTCGTTGTACTGGACTGAACTGTGCGCCTCCAAGGAATCGTTGGTATTATTACTGAGGCGATAATGTGCCATAAGAGAAAATGTTGTAGATGCCAGGGAACAGATACTACCTTTTTAAATCAAACATGCCACTGCTTTTCATCCAAAGGGACTCCAGGAGTTGTCAGTCATATTTATGAAAACTGTCAATAAATGAGAGGAAAAAAATCAACCATCTTGACATTTATTAAAGGCATGATCTTGTCAATTTACTAGGACGTTCAAAAAGTCTGGTAAACGGAAGTTGCCTTCCGATTTGACCACTACCTAGAGTCACCTGAATATAATCTCGGTGGGGCCTGAAGATCTCCCAGAATTAGAACTGATCACCAGACAACAGAGATCAGTTGCCCTGGAAATAATGGCTGTTTTGAAGCGAAAGAAAACACACCTCACAAAAACGAGTATTCAGACTGAATGCAGAAACCAGACAATCTAGCTCAGCACACAGACCTGACCTCAAACAGACTACAATGAAATATTTCTTTCTTTTTTTAAATAGTTCTTTATTAGTGTCTCAAACAAAAATAACACTGAACACAAAGGGGTGTGGCCCAATATGCTAATGAGTTTCTGCTATTGGGTGTGGCCTATTATGCTAATGAGTTCCTGCTGGGCTTTTTCTACAAAAAAAGCCCTGGTCACGTGAATATAATCTCGGTGGGGCCTGAAGATCTCCCAGAATTAGAACGGATCCCCAGACAACAGAGATCAGTTGCCCTGGAAACAATGGCTGCTTTGAAGCGAAAGAAAACACACCTCACAAAAACGAGTATTCAGACTGAATGCAGAAACCAGACAATCTCGCTCAGCAAACAGACCTGACCTCAAACAGACTGCAATGAAATATTTCTTTACACCAAAGTGCTCAAGATGCGTTCCATCACATACGAAATTGCTCCAGAAGTCACCACCCAATGGTTAGACTATCAGACCTAAGGCCAAAGTAGACATGGCAACATCCTCTGGTCCAACACGTGGATGCGACTGCCACTTTAAAGACTAACATGGACGATTTATAGAGGCCACGTGGGCTCGGTTTTTGGCACTCCAAAAAGCAATGGGGAGACAAGAACCTCAGCTCACAATGCTGCAGGCCCAATCAGGATCAGGCCCTCCCTGCATTTTCAAATGGTCATGTTAGGCTTCAAAAAGGACACGGCATCCAGATAGATTCAGACGGGTTAGCCGTGTTGGTCTGAAGCAGCTGAACAAAATTTGAGACCAGTGGGGCACCTTTCAGTCCAACAACGTTTTATTTAAGGTATGAGCTATGAGCTTTCACGTGCATGCACACTTCTCCAGATACAATGAAATGGAAATTACCAGTCCATGCATATAGGAAGAGAGTGAGCAGTAAACTAGCTTACAGCATAATGATGTTTAAAAGATTCAAGGACCAAACAGGAATAACAAGTTTTGTTTTATATGGTTACATTCTGTTTGGGTTTAATTCCGGGGGTGAGGGGGAGACATAGTGAAGGAAATAAATATGTAAAAATTGGAGACTGAAGGGCAGATGTATCCTTAATTGTGGGATGCTGAGAGTAATTAACTGAGACGCTGCCATTACGCTCCATCCGTCTCCTCTCAAGCACGGAGGTGAGCTTACAGCCTCTTCTGCTTTGAAGAGGGGCAATTGACTGTGTAGTTATCTCCCCTGTCCCCAGACCAGAGAAATACATTCCAATCTACCATTCCAAATTACATTACATTCTACTATTCATTATATATTTTTTGATTGCTTACTAGGAATAACAGATCAGAATAGTAGATTGTAATGTAAGCTTATACCTTGAATAAAACTTTGTTGGTCTTAAAGGTGCCACTGGAGTCTACGGCATCCACGTGTTAGAAATCTAGTTTGACCCTAAGTCCTGAGAGAATACAGGTTCCCAGTTCCCATTCTACCTCTGAACCAGGGAGATCCAAACTGCTATCATGACTAACAGCCAATGACAGTCCTGTCTTCCATATAACTGTCCAACAGCCCCCCACAGCCAACAAATTCACCCAGAACAGTGAAGATTACCACACTTTGTAGCAGTAAGTTTCACAAGTCAGCAAACTCTTGCTTGCAGGACTACTCAAGTGGCTTTATACTGAGTCAGCCTATTGGTCCATCAAGGTCAGTATTGTCTACTCTGATTGGCAGCGGGTCTCCAAGGGTCTTAGGCAAAAGTCTTTCACTTCACTTTATCCATAATGGTTTCAACTGGAGATGCCCAAAATTGAACTGGGACCTTGTGCATGCAAAAATATGTTCTACCACTGAGTCACGGTCTCATATATGCTACCTCAAACTCCTTGGAAGGAGTGGAGATTAAGAGTGTGAGATAAGCATCTGGGAGACACGGGTTTGAATCCCAACTTGTGCCATGGAAGCTCTCTGGGTGACCTTGGGCCAGTGACACTCTTTTGGCCTAACCTATCTCACAGGGTCGTTGTGAGGATAAAATGGAGGAGAAGAGAATGATGTAAGCCACTTTGGTCTCCATTGCAGAGAAAGGCAGGACATAAATTAAGTAAATAGATAAATAAAATAAAGGAAGATGATATAGATGTATATTGGCAGAATGGATATAGGACGTCTCTGTCTTAGAAGACAAAACGTCCATACTGGAACCCTACTGTGTGTCACACTTATCATCATATTTAATTCTGCTTTGATATGTAGAATGGAGGAAGGGACTGCAAAATGGAGGCAATAATTCATGTGGCTTTACAGTCTATGGCAGGCAGCCACAGTGTGCATTAGTAGCAGCATAAAGTGCCCAGTGGTGGAATAATGTAAGATCTGAGTATAAAATAATGATTATCTTACATCTCTTTGCGCTGGATGAACTTTTCATTCCACTGTTTGGCTACATCTATAATTTAAAAATCTGATATTGAAATAAGCATCGTCCATCTGAAAAATAATGAGTGTGCTTCTTCGCTGTGTTAGCATTTGGGGGTGGATTATTCAGTCTCTGATGGCAACAGTATCTTGGGCTCATGGAGGGTGCCTTGCCTCTGCAACCTGGAGGTGGAGTATGCAAATTAAGAACATAAGAGAAGCCAATGTTGGATCAGGCCCATCCAATCCAACATTCTTGTCACACAGTGGCCAAAAATACCAGGTGCCATCAGGAGGTCAACCAGTGGAGCCAGGTCATTAGAACCCCTCCCACTGTTGCCCCCCCCCAGCACCAAGAATACACAGCATCACTTGCCTCAGACCAAGAGTTCCTATCTATACCTTGTGGCTAATAGCCACTGATAGACCTCTGCTCTATATGCTTATCCAATTCCCTCTTAAAGCTGTCCATGCTTGTAGCCGCCGCCACATCCTGTGGCAGTGAATTCCATGTGTTAATCACTCTCTGGGTAAAGAATTCTCTCACATTGCTTCTGATCTTCTGGAATTCTCTGAGAATAGTTGTGCTGTTGAGGCAGTGAGTCTTCCTGGCAAATGCCTGTTCCCTCCATTTTTGGAGTCAGCCACATCCTCAAGACTGTCTAAGATAATCAGATGCTCAAAGCATTATAAAAGCCAGTGCTGTCCTAGCGGTTTGGAAAAAAGATCTAGGCCATGAGTTACCAAAGGAATCTTGGTTAAAGATATGGAAATCTGTAAAATATATGAGAGCTGGGATCTTCTGCATGCCAAGGAGAGGCTCTTCCATGGAGCCAAACAATTAATTCAACACATTCACAGATAAACACATACACATGAGACTGCCTTATACTGCATCAGACCCTTGGTCCATCAAAGTCATTATTGCCTACTCAGGCTGGCAGCAGCTCGCTAGGGTCTCAGACAGAGGTCCTTCTCATCACCTAACTGGAGATGCTGGGGACTGAACCTGGGACTTTTGCATGCTAAGCAGCGGCTCTTCCACGGAGCCAAACCATCTATTCAATACTGTCACAGTCAAACATACACATGAGACTGCCTTATACTGCATCAGACCCTTGGTCCACCAAAGTGAGTATTGCCTACCCAGGCAGGCAGCAGCTCTCCAAGATCCCAGGCAGAGATCTTTCAAATCACCTACTATCTGGTCCTTTCATAAGAACATAAGAGATGCCAATGTTGGATCAGGCCAAAGGCCCATCCAGTCCAACACTCTGTGTCACACAGTGGCCAGAAATACCAGGTGCCATCAGGAGGTCCACCAGTGGGGCCAGGACATTAGAAGCCTTCCCACTGTTGACCCCCCCCCCAAGCACCAAGAAGACAGAGCATCACTTGCCCCAGAGTCCCTATCTATACCTTGTGGCTAATAGCCACTGATGGACCTCTGCTCCATATTTCAACTGGGGATGCCAGAGATTGAACCTGGCACCTTCTGCATGCCAAGCAGAGGCTCTTCCACAGAAGCAACAATCAATTCAATATGTTCACATCGCCTACTGCTGCCCGGTCCTTTTAACTGGGGATTGCACCTGGGACCTTTTGCATGCCATGCAGACGCTCTGCCACCGAGCCCTCCACAGCCCCGCCCACGGTGACTTCCACTCCCCCCCCCCACCTACCTACCTGCCCCACGAGAAATTGTTCCAGCCACGTGAACAGAACGGGAGCACGCGCTGTGCGGGTCCACCTGTATTTCTCCTCTCGCCCTCCACTCCATCGCCGGCCCCCATCAGCCGCCTCTTCCTCCTCCTCCCGCCCCTCCGTTTGAAAGGCAAAACACCGCCTCCTCCAAAATGGCGCTGCCGGGACGACACTGCGCATGCTCACCTCCCGCGGGCGCTCGCCGGACCCCTTCCCTCAACGTTCGGAAGGACCACAACTCCCGGCACGCCCCGCGGCCCGATTTGCGTCACAATGCTCCCGAGCGACACCGCCCCCCGGTAATGGGACAAGGGAGCAGCAGCCGGGAGAAGGAGGAGGAGGAGGAGGTGGTGGCAGAGGCGGGATGCGGTGGCGTCCCGCAAAAAGCCTCTTCCATCCAGGTGAGGAGCGGGTTGCGTTGCCTTTTGCACCCGTCCGTCCACATTCTCCCTGGGATGGATCCTTTCCTAAAAGGGGAGATGCCGGAGCTTGGCAGGAGAGAGAGGATCATTCCTCATTGAGACCGCTTGACCAGTGCAAGCCTAGGCGGAGTTTGTTGTCGTTCAGCCGCACAGTCGAGTCCGACTCTGCGGACTCCAAGCCTAACCCCATTGATTTAGAACGGGAGTAAGTTGATGGAGCTGCGGTGGCTCAAGTGGTTAAGACGCTGAACTGCAGGCTGTGGAAGGCCAGTAGTTCAGCAGTTCGAGACCCGGGTGCCGCAAGACGGGGTGAGCTCCTGTCTCTAGTTCCAGCTCCTGCCAACCTAGCAGTTCGAAAGCAAGAAATTGCAAGTAGATAAATAGGTACCACTTTGGTGGGAAGGTAACAGCGTTCCGTGCGCCTTGGTGTTTAGTCATGCCGGCCACATGACCACGGAAACGTCTTCGGACAGCGCTGGCTCTTCGGCTTGGAAACGGAGATGAGCACCGCAACCCTAGAGTCGGATTCGACTGGCTTTCGAGCAAGGGAACCTTTACCTTTACTTTAAGTTGACCTACAGGAGGTCGGTGGAACAAGGCTGGAGTCCCGTGGCACCAACGAAGTTTTATTCAAGGTGTAAGCTTTCCTGTGCAAAGCGCACTTCCTCAGGTACAGTGAAACAGGAAGCCCTACATATCCAGGAAGATGGGGGGCCAGTGGTTTTTCAGCATTCATCCCCTGCTGCACACTAAGCATGCAATAGTCTCATCCAATGCCTCTCAACCGCCCCCTCCCCAGCTCCGGGTTAAAAAACGAGGTAAAATAAAGAGCACCACAACTTCATTTATATAAGGTATATTTAGGAGCTGCGGTGGCTCAAGTGGTTAAGATGCTGAACTGCAGGGGGTGGAAGGTCGGTAGTTCAGCAGTTCCAGACCCGAGTGTGCCGCATGACGGAGTGAGCTCCCGTCTCTAGTTCCAGCTCCTGCCAACCTAGCAGTTCGAAAGCAAGAAATTGCAAGTAGATAAATAGGTACCACTTTGGTGGGAAGGTGACAGCGTTCCGTGCACCTCGGTGTTTAGTCATGCCGGCCACATGACTATGGAAATGTCTTCGGACAGCGCTGGCTCTTCGGCTTTGAAACGGAGATGAGCACTGCAACCCTAGAGTCTGATTCGACTGGCTTTCGAGCAAGGGAACCTTTACCTTTAAGGTATATTTATAGAAGTATAATTTTTTAAGGACGTGGGAGGAGAAATCTTTTGTTTTGGAAGACATCTCAGGCAGGCTCTTGGAGAAGCCGCGTAAAGCGGTTCTGAATTTAATAAATCTCAGTCTGGGATTTTATCCCAGTATAAGTCAGTTGCCCTCTGTTGCAGTAGAAAAGAGTAAGAGTCCAGTAGCACCTTAAAAACTAACAAAATCGATGGCAGGGTGTGAGTTTTCATGAGTCACTGCTCAGAGCCAGTATGGTGTCATGATTAGGAGCATGGACTCTGATCTGGGAGAACTGGGTTTGATTCCCCACTCCCCCACATGCAGCTGCTGGCGTGACCTTGGGTCAGTTACAAGTCCTTTCAGAGCTGTTCTCTCACGGGCAGTTCTCAAGAGAGCTCTCTCAGCCCCACCCACCTCACAGGGTGTCTGTTGTGGGGAGGGGAAGGGAAAGGAGTTTGTAAGCTCCTCTGAGACTCCTTTGGGTAGGGAAAGGCGGGGTATAAATCCAGTTTCCTCCTTCTCCACCTCCTGCTCTTCCTTGTTTGTCAGAAGCCGGGAGAAGCAGGATGAGAGGCTGGCTAGAATTACGAATGTCCCCCATGGGCCTCTCCCCCCAGTTCTGTGTGTCCCCTCAAGAATTGTAAATTGTCCTGGCGGGGGGTGGGGAATGGCATGAGGTGATCAGCAGTATCCCCCCTTCTGCTTTGAGATTCTAAGAGAACAGCAGGGCTTAATTTCTAAAAACGGAGGATTTAAGTTCCCCTGCCCCTGGCAATTTGCCTTAGGCTCTTAGAAGAAGACCCTCCCTTTGCCATGTAAAGGCTACTGGAAAGCACTTGGTACATGCCCAGAGGCTTGCTCCATATTGAGTGTCCCAGCCAACTTATGGCAACCCTATGGAGTTTTCAAGGCAAGAGGCATTCAGAGATGGTTTGCCATTGACCTGCCTCTGTGTTGGACTTCCTTGGCGCGCTCCCATCCAAGTACTTACCGGGGCTGACGCTGCCTAGCTTTCAAGATCTGACGAGATCAAATTAGCCTGGGCCATCCAGGTCACTAATTTATACCAAGGGTGCAGGGGCACATTCAACGAGGGCCTGGGATTTAAAGGGGCCTGAACTCCAGAAAGTGTTTCTGCCCTGCCCAGATTGTATATCCAGGCTAACGGGAAACCTAGGTGCCGCAGGATGTCGACACTGAATCCAAACATTTGTATGTGTGGCGTGCCTTCTCAGGCATGGTGCCTTTCCACCTCATTTTGGAAACACAAACGAAGGACCTGAATGATGAACAGATTTGCACCCTAAATTCGGGACCACCCCGATACATCTGTTGTACAGTGTTGCTCAGTTTAAAAATCACCTTGGACACAACACTGTGACCGATTTCACACAAGAGCTGCGCCACGGTTGCGCCTCCCTTTGCCCCGCATCTATTGGTCAATTTCCCACTCGAAGCTGCGCAGCCGCATTTTGACCCGTGGCTTCGAGTGGGAAATTGACCAATAGAAGCGGGGCAAAGGGAGGCGCGACTGCAGCGCAGCTCTTGTGTGAAATCGGTCTCTGTCAAACAACATTCCCCAGTTCCTTGCTCTGGAAACACCGGTACAACTAAAGTGCTGAGACGTGAACTCCCGTGCACCCCAAAATAGGCATTTGATCACAAGCAGCTCACAGGGAGACCAGCGCCCAGTAGCCTAGAAATATGATCGGGGGTGGTCGAAAAGCTGTTTTATCCTGCCAGAACCAAACCTGGGGAACCAGTTTGGTGTAGTGGTTAGGAGTGCAGACCCTAATCTGGGAGAACCAGCGTTGATTCCCCCACTTCTCCACCTGCAGCTGCTGGTGAGACCTTGAGTCAGTCACAAGTTCTCTCAGAGCTGTTCTCTCATGAGCAGTTCTCTCAGAGCTCTCTCAGCCCCACCTACCTCACAGGGTGTCTGTTGTGGGAGGGGAAAAGAAAAGGAAAGGAGATTGTAAGCCGCTCTGAGACTCCTTTGGGTAGTGAAGGGTGGGGTATAAAACCAATCTCCTCCTCCTCCTGTGGAGCATCTGCTTGGCATGCAGAAGGTCCCAGGTTCAATCCCCGGCATCTCCAGTTAAAAGGACCAGGCAGGAGGTGATGTGGAAGACCTCTGCCTGAGATTCTACAGAGCTGCCGCCAGTCTGAGGAGACAGTACTGATCTTGACGGACCGGTGGTCTGATGCAGTGTAAAGCAAGCTACATGTGCATGTGGAACCTCAGCTTCCTCCGCCTATATTGTTGTGTGTGTCCATTCTGAGAGATGGAGATGAGCAATGAAGGAATAGCCCTCAAGTGTGTGACATTCTCACCAGTGGGATTTGCGGCCCATAAGTCCGGCACAAACCCACTTTCTCCAATTTAGTACCCTCGGAAAATGAAGACAGCGGTCCAAGTAGCAGATTCTGATCGGTAACAAGTTAGATATATGTGTAGCAGGGCTTGTGACGTAGGGCATCTCTGTGCAACCTTTCCTTTCATTCCTCCACTGGATCCCTGCGTCTGGGACTCTGGTCTCCCAGGGTCAGGGCCAGTGTTCCCTCTAAGCTGAGTTAGTGTGAGCTAGCTCACAGTTTTTCACCCTCCAGCTCACACATTTTTGTCTCGGCTGAGGAAGGAGGGCTCCAGAGTAAACTAATTGATGCAGTAGCCAGATCGCTCGCTCACAACTTTAATGCCAGTAGCTCACAGAGTAGAATTTTTGCTCACACGACTCCATAGCTTAGAGGGAGCCTTGGTCAGGGCTAGATGGCAGATTTTTGCTCACACGACTCCATAGCTTAGAGGGAGCCTTGGTCAGGGCTAGATGGCAGATTTTTCTCTGCCCTCCGACAAGATTGCTGGGGAAAAGATCAACAGCCTCAGATATGCAGACGATACCACTCTGATGGCAGAAAGTGAAGAGGACCTAAAGAGCCTCTTGCTCAGGGTAAAAGAGGAAAGCGCAAAAGTGGGCTTGAAGCTCAACATAAAAAAAACTAAGATCATGGCATCCAGCCCCATCACTCCTTGGCAAATAGAAGGGGAAGTCGTGGAAGTAGTGACAGACTTCACGTTCCTGGGATCCCAGATCACCGCAGACAGGGACAGCAGCCATGAAATTAAAAGACACCTGCTCCTTGGGAGGGAAGCGATGGCGAACCTAAACAGCATGATAAAAAGTAGAGACATCACCCTGCCAACAAAAGTCCGCATGGTCAAAGCAATGGTATTCCCAGTAGTCATGTATGGCTGCGAGAGTTGGACTATAAGGAAGGCTGAGCGCCGAAGAATAGATTCTTTTGAACTATGGTGCTGGAGAAGACTCTTGAGAGTCCCTTGGACTGCAAGGAGATCAAATCAGTCAATCCTAAAAGAAATCAACCCTGACTGTTCCCTGGAAGGCCAGATAATGAAACTGAAGCTCAAATACTTTGGCCACCAAATGAGAAGGGAGCACTCACTGGAGAAGACCCTGATGCGGGGAAAGATTGAAGGTCAAAGAAGACGGGGACGGCAAAGGATGAGATGGGTAGACAGTGTCATCGATGCAACGAACATGAAGTTGAGCCAACTTCAGAGGACGGTGGAAGACAGGAGGGCCTGGTGGGAGCTGGTCCATGGGGTCGCGAAGAGTCGGACTCGACTGTGCGACTGAACAACAACCGACAATATCTGTCTGTGCAGTACTTCAGCTGTCTCTATAGGAATGGATGGAGATTGTCTGCATGCATGGAGATAAAGTTCCCAAAAGGTAGCTGTGTTAGACTCTTGGAGGAAGAATAACCAAGGGTTTAGGTGGCATCATGAAAGACATCGTGGCATCAGCTTTTGTGCGCTAGAACTTATTTCCTTGGATGCAGTGAGTTAGAGAAAAGGAACACTAGCCCTGTCCTGGATGGCCCAGGCTGGCCTGGTCTCGTAAGATCTTGGAAGCTAAGCAGGGTCAGCCCTGGTTGGAACTTGGATGGGAGACCACCCGGGAAGTCCAAGGTTGCTACGCAGAGACAGGCCATGGCAAACCACCTCTGAACATCTCTTGTCTTGGTTGCAACTTGACAGTGTTTTGCACACACACACAGTCCACTAAAGCTTTTGCCAGAATAGCCTTTAAGTTTCCACCAGTTTGGTGTCATGGTTAAGACCATCGGACTTTCATCTGGAGAACCGGGCTTGATTCCCCATTCCTCCTCATGCAGCCAGCTGGGTGACCTTGGGTCAGTCACAGATGTCTCAAAGCTGTTCTCTCAGAGCTCTCTCAGCCCCGCCTACCTCACAGGGTGTCTGTTGTGGGGAGAGGAAAGGAAGGAGATTGTAAGCCACTCTGAGACTTCGACTAAAGTGTGGGGTATAAATCCAACTCTTCTTCTTCCTCGTCCTCCTCCTCTTCCTTTTTGCTGCTCATCTACAGAGAATGTAATGTGGCCTGCACAGAATGCACATAACAAAGTTAGATGTGACTCAGCCTTCTATATTGGTGGGAAAAAGTTGCATAAAGCCATAGTGGTTCATGCAAAACGCGGGGGGGGGGGGCACCTAAAGACATTCCTCCACAATCAAAGTTGGTATTGGTGACCAGCAGTAGCTTGTTATTGTTACCGGGGCTTGACCTTCCTCCATATAATAGGTGGGGGCTCCTTCTCAGTCGGGTTGCCAGCTCTGGGTTGGGAAATACCTAGAGACATGGGGGTGGAGCCTGGGGGGCGGGGTCTGGGATGAAGGAGGGACCTTAGAAGAGTCTAATGAAATAGAGTCTACCCTGGAGATCACCTGTACTACCGGGAGATCCCCAGGCCCACCTGGAGGTTGGCAACCCTTCTTTGTAACTCCAGCAGTACTGGGACCATGAGCAAAGAGTACCTTCTTACGTTTGTGGTGTGCCAGAAATCTTTCTTCTGCATTGTTGGCTCCAAAACAAAAGATGTGACATTAAGAAGAGCTTAAATTTATGAGGGCCATTTCCTATAAAGAAAACATTTATAAAATGTTATCACAGGTGGTATTGGTCCCCAGACAAAATTGCTAAGTGTTACCCTCAAGCGTCTAAAGATGTTGGAAATGTAAAGCGAATGTGGGGACTTTTTATCACATGTGGTGGAAATGTAGCAAAATACAAAAATTTTGGAAAATGGTACAAAAAATTATTTCAGAAATATTGAACCTAGAGATGGAGTTATCGCCTGAAATATATTTATTGAATATGATCCCAAAAAGTTACACAAAGCAAGATACATATCTAATAGTATATATCATAACAGCGGCACGAATATTAGTGGCCAGAAATTGGAAGACAGATAAATGACCCTCAAAAGAGGACTTAATTTCAAAACTATTAGAGCTAGCTCAAATGGATAACTTGAGTTTAATACTCCAAGATAAAGACCACAAATGCCAGAATAAAAGATGGTTTAGGGTATATAACTGGATAAAACATGTAATAGATTAATAAAAATGTAAATATTTAATAACATGTATATGGAATGTAATGTGAATTAACAACTTGAAAAAATTTGTGTAATCTAATAAGATGAAATGTTTGTGTTTTTATGGAAAATTTTGAAAATAAACGGTAAAAAGAAGAAGAAGAAGAAGAGCTGCATGGCCACACTGGGGCTGCCAGGCATCCGGCAGGAGGATTGTCGAGGTTGCAGTATCACAGGAGAATCTTTAAAAAAAAATATTTATGCAGATTTATGTACTTACTGGAAGTACTTTCTGGAAGTGACAAAGGGTGGCTCTAGGAAGCACCAGAAACTCTATGGTAAGACCATAGAGTTTCTGGCAACTCCTAGAACTCCCGGTGTCACTTCCAGTGAGTACACAAGCCTGCGCTGCATTTAAAAATCTTCTGCCACTGCTCCAGGTGGTACTGGGCAATGGGTCAAGGAGGCAGAGGATCCCCTTGGCATCCCCACCAGCCCTTGGCCGCTCTAGTTTACACCCTACTGAATGATAGATAGCTGTGCCATTTGTAGTAAGATTAGCAGGCCAAATCTGAAAATAACAACAGAAATGAGGTGTGTCAATGTCTAGATGGGGCCTGGAGTTCTCCTAGAATTGCAGCTGATCTCCGGACTACAGAGATCAGTTGCCCCGGAGGCAATGACAGCTTTGGAGGCTGGACACCCCATGAGGCTTATTGCTTTAGAAAAGAAACAAAGGCCCCTTTAATAAGGAGGAACTAGTCCACCCTGAGGCTGGAAAGTAAGAGAAAGCATTCTAGCTATCTCACTAGGCTAAGGTGGGAAGAGAGCAGATCTTGCCTGCACGGTGGTTGGAGAAAGAGGCAGGAAGAGGTGTTGGCCCTTCAGAGGAAGGAACCCTTCAGAACAGCATCCTCGGAAAACAAAGAGACCGAAGGGAAGCAGACAAGAGGAAAGATAGAGAGGAGGGGTTCCTAACCCTTTTGAGGCTGTAGGCATCTCTGGAACTCTGATTCAAGGTGGTAGGTGCAGGGCTCTTTTTGCTACATCCAGGGCTCTTTTTGTAGAAAAAGCCCAGCAGGAACTCATTAGCCTAATAGGCCACACCCAACAGCAGAAACTCATTAGCCTATTAGGCCACACCCCTGACAGCACAGCTCATTAGCACATTAAGTGCCAGAAGTGTGGTCATCCAGCCACACCAACCTGTTGCTTCTTATTCTGTTTACCTTGTCTGTTGTCAAAACCCAGGGCCTTTTTTGGAGCAGGAACTCCTTTGCATGTTAGGCCACACACCCCTAATGTAGCCAATCCTGATGAGTTTCTGCTGTTGGGTGTGCCCTATTATGCTAATGAGTTCCTGCTGGGCGTGGCCAACTTGGGAGCCAGCCGCAA